ATAAATAGTGTGTGTGTTACCAGTACACTCGCGAGAAGTGAAACTTCTTTTGAACGGTACACGTGAGTTAATATTAATTAATTTAAAAAATGAGAGGAAGTTATCCGGTATTATTTATTATTGATACTTTTATTATTTTTTATTTTTATTCGACAGATCGATGGATAATTGTTTGTAGTACTGTTTTTCTATAGGTAAAAGGTTTGTGAGTGAATTAATCAATTAATAACTAGATTAAATATACTAGATGCTAACTGATATTGGGCTTTCAGTATAGATGCTATAATAATCGATAATTAACTATTCATATTAATTATTATGGACCAAGATAGATGAATCTGTTTTTTATTTTGCAACGTTTATATAATATTTATTCGTAACAAAAAAAAGTCACTTAACTTAAGCGGCTCACCACCGCCACTACCTCACAAAGCTTGTACCTCTTAATTTTTTTTATTTGATATTATTAATAAATACTCTCACAAATCTTTTTTCTGGATAAAAACAATACTACAAACGATTATCTATCGATCTGGCTAACTTACTTTCATTTTTTGGATTAATTAATAATAACGAACTGCGAACTAACAAACATTTTGAACGTCGGTACAATATTCTCCAAATTTATTGCAAACTATTCATTACACTCACTATTATTATTTAAGTCGTTTCCGGCTTATCACATGGTAATGAATCAAACACACGCGATCAAATGTCAACAAACGCTGGCATGTGTATTTATTTGTATAAGTCACGTCAGTCACGATAACATATGTGTACGGTATATACATATATACTGTACGAGGAGCATGGTATATACGCGTGTTGTGGTACCCTAACCCAAATCTTTATGGTAGTCGAAGAAGTAGCAATAACAAATCATGATAATTGAACCCGCTGTTCGGATAGCTAGTCCACCGTCGTCCGATAACGATTATAATACGCTTGTTGTACGGATGATTTAAAAAGCGTGTCTTTTATTTGGAGTCCATTAGTGGTAGGTACAAGATAACATATTCAAATGCTATATACGTGCTCATAGTAATAGTATCATATAGAATTCGTACTGGTCGAAGAGCATCGGTGAGTTGTGATGAGAGTCTAAAATGTTGATTGTGTGACAAAAATATCGAATGCACACATTTGCTTTGGTATATGCAATATAATATTATATACTATACAGGGTATTATAATCTGGGCACTGAAGCAAAACAATGTCTGGTGTACGATAATTTTTTTGAAAAACCATAGTTATTTTAGTACTTTACGATAATATTAGTTTGAGAGTCTTGCAAAACTGGCGCCGCCGTCCGTTCGTACCCGCCGCCAGTTACATTTCGTTTTTTCCTCACTACAATGCGTAAAGAAGTTTCACTTCAATAAACATTTTTGGTTTTTGAAAAAATCAATATTTCATTCAGTAACGAATGAACCCAACTGCTGTAGAAACTTGGGGTTTTCACTAAATATCCATAATATTAGCATTTCATCGACTTGATATAAGTTTTTAAATGTTTCGGCTATTTCGGATGGCTGTTTGCCAAAATTTAAAAATCTTTTGGGTTTTTTTTTCCGATTTATGTGTAGGTACTGTGTAATATTTGTGTGTTTGCATTCTTCGTCGATGCGACATAACATACAGCGACGTCGTTGTTCAAGATTTGAAATAAACTCCATCATTATAATATTACAATATTGTACCGTTTGTATTCATTTATTATATAGGCAGCTAGGTAGGTGCCCATCATTGTATCCCGTTATGCGTGCGGACAACAATCGTTCAATCGTTCCGTATTGTCCTAAATACACACGAAATACCTATTATAATAAATAGATCGGTATACCAGATAGATATACTACTTATACGTCGTGATCGCAAAATATTATTATATATACCGGGTGATCCGTTTAAAGTAAAACAATCATTATTTTTTATTCAAAAACTATTTAGGTAATAAAGTTTTTTAAAAAATGTTTTTTTTTTGCTTAATTTGAAGTCATAACTACAGTATTCTAAAATGAATAGTATATTTTACAATTTTACATACGTCGTGATTGCATATAATATATTATATTGATCTGTTTAACGTAAAAGGATAATGATAATATTAATAATATTAATATGTATTAATAGTTAATACTGAAAAAGTTTAAAAAAAAAATTTATTTACCTACATAATTTTAAACCATCTTGATAAAGCGATGGAATACTGAAAAAAATCATTTTTTTTAAAATTTTGAGCATAAATATATTCTTACCATAGGTATACTGAGTTACAACTTACTAATAAACTACTCGTCTGAAATTTGATTTTTATTGATTGAAATTTGAAATACTCCAAATAATTGTATTCTATTATCATCGAAATATAAAATTAAAAAATATGTGTTGTTAATTGTTATTCAAAAGGGTAAACAACTTAAAAATTACATACAACAATATAAGTATTAGTAAAAACGTTTGTGTTTTTTGAAATAACGAGTGCCTTACCGCTAAACGTATCACTCCGTATATATAATTATACTATCTAGCTATTTAATAGTTTGCAGCTGCCCAGTGTTCGGTTCTCCAAGATTAGGTTTTTTTTTATTAAAAAAAATATTATCTTGTGTCACTTCTGCCGGTAGCAGCTTAACAATTAGATTTTTATCAAAAACATGCCACGTGAAACGACATCGTCCATCTGCTAAACTCCGTGTTCACAAACTCGGAATTTCTAGCAATCTTGTACCACGTTTTTTATGGGTATTGTTGCAGTCGTAGCAGTATAGATATAGGCAGGCGCCATAGGTAAAATAATAAAGGCGACAAAAAAGAGGCATATTATAATAATATAGGTACTCCCAAATCGTATTTAAATAATTGTTGCATGTGATTATTGATGATTACAAAATAACGACTGATATCCACAGTAGGTTGTTATATAAGTAAATAAAAAAATTACTTGAAAATCATTAATATTATAGTAGATTATAATATTGTCTTTGTGTTGCACTCTACATGCTCTAGTTCTCCATATTTTTATTAGTTCTCTCTCTCTCTCTCTCACTCTCCTTTACAGTACATTTTTTTATAGCAATAATTGTATGAATTACTTACTAAATAAAATAACTTACAACGCCCCTTATGAACAGTTCACAAAATATGTAAAAATCTCCTGATAGTTATTGGTTACTGAGTTTTCTAATTTTTTCTTTGTCTATGTAGTTTACGATTTCGTCTAATGTTTGGGAGGATTGGTGTACATTTTTAAATTCTGGAATTTGGAAATAAATATATATTACATTTGTTTTTAATTCTTTGTTTTGTATATTTTTAAACTTAATTCGGAATCATTTAATAAGGAGAAGCCTGGGTTTATGTTAACTGATATGTTTCTATTTTTTATTTCGCCTGAAGATGACTTGATTATATCACTGTTGGTGTATATAACGTCATGGCATTTGGTAATTTAATGGTCCCTGTCCCTTTTCAAATATTCCTAAAGCCTAAAGGTAAATTGTCAGAATTAACTAAAGACGTGGCGGCTCCTTGTCTACAACGAAATTATATTCTACGTTATTAATTTTGCCGACTACCTCAAGTCTTTGACCGGGTTCGAATGCAGCCAGTAGCGTAGTTGAATTACGTGTCGTTATATATTATATGTTTTATTGTGTTGCCATTAATTTGTTGCTGTTCGGTAGTTATCAATTTTTAATTATAAATTCGGTTTGAATACTATGGTCACGAATATCTCGTATTTTATTTTCATTTAATAACGTTTTTATTTATCAATTCAAACACATAATTGTTTTATAAGCCTATATCCAATCCGAACAAAATATTTTATTCACCTGCAATAAAAATTCACATACAATTTAGAACTGTAATTATTTTAGGGGCCCAACTTGCAGATTCACTCGTTGCCTGTTAGGCAACGGTATTGATGGTTGTTCAAAAAACACAAAATACGGAAAAAAATGTGTTACGCGATGATTACTATATAAGGCTGATAATTCAATTCTTTCCTATATAATATGGGGTCGCATATTGATGAAATTCAAAATAAAAAACCAAGGGAGCGCGAACTGCTCTCTGTCCCTCCCTATATAGTGGATCAGACGATTCGCGATTTTTTTCCCTTCCATATTATATATACGTGTCTCATTTTGTGCGTACCCGTCGAGAGAAAACGGCGGCATTATATTATATTATAATATTATGTATGTATATACGTACCCGGAGACATATGGTGGCTGAGTCTCAGTTTGCGAGAGAGAAAAAACAGTTTACACAATATAAATAAATAATACAATAAACTCGCCCTCGGAGAACTCGAGCGGGTGTCAGTTGTAGTCTAAGCACACGCACACGTATTAGACTATACGTATTCGAACATCTCGGAAACACTTTGTTCTCAGGTATTAAATTCTTCTTTTATATGAAGAATGTCTGTAAATCAAATTCCGTCATTCTTTGTGCGTGAAATACATACATAAACATTATACATACGTACATATTACATATACATACGTACACATACGTATACAATATATGTAGGTGCATACTTTGATATTGTATACATGTACATATATGAGTGCATACAAGACTGGACAAGTTAAAGATATTTTCTTTTATTTATTTTTTGAGTTAATAGTTGATAGAAAACATTTTTTAATATCTTAAGTTATTATTGTCTAATTATTGCGACAAACATTGGATTGAAATTAAACAACCTAGTGGCATACGCAGGAGAGGAGCTTTCTCCTATCCTTATGTCTCCCGTGTTATATACAAATTGAGATTATTTTCTGTTTTATATTTATCAAGTTTCAACTATAGTTAACTAACTAATGAGCAAGGGCGTGTATTCATATACGTCTTAATGGATAAACAATGGCCAACAATTAACACAATGACATTTTCAAAACATCTGGAATAATTGTATGACATTGCCTATTGTTATACCTACCACGAACCTATGGTCAAAATATTAAATAAAAAATAAACACTGACAATGCTTGAAATCGTGCAAACATTTTCAAGACATCTCATAAACGTGAAGTCTGAAGTTATTAGATGGAGACAATCAAAATCAAATTGTATTTTATTGACCACATTATTATCATGAATCAATTTGTATAAATAAAGTTTTTTTTTCATATATTTTTGTGTTTATATATGAGTATATAAACTAAGAAATTGATAAATAAATTGATCATATGCAAACTTCACGCATGTCAAAAATTAAACACGTTGTTCTGACGTAGGTCCTATTCTCACGACGGGTTTCATTTTTTTTTTCATTAACCTCTAGCAGTTGAACATTTCTTCTGAGTTTTTAAATTTCTAACGATTTTTACTTTATGAAAATAGACACAGGTTTGGTACATTTCGGTAGCCAAATCGTCTTCAACATTTGTTGACTTATTTCCTTGAAGTCGTTAGTTCACTTTCAACAATTTTGATTTACAGACCTGAAAATACGAACGGGTAGGTGCGCCAACTCCGTCCACTTGGGCGGATAACTTTACTTCTCCTAAAATATCGAAATCTGTATCAAATAATAGTGTGTCATTCACGAATATCTATTTTCAAAATTTGCAAGTAGCTCTTTTCTCCAACAAATCTATTAACAAAATTTTTCCCAAGAATATATTTAAAATATTGAATTTGGTATTCACAAACTTTTTTGCCATCGTTCCGCGTATATAACCCATAGATAGGTAGGTACATGTCATAATTTTGGTGCATAAAGTCTTTAATTTTGCTGACTGTTTATTTTTGCAAAAATAAAAATAACATGTTCTTACAACTGATGGATCTGGCATATATTTATCACGTACGTAGGTACTTAAACCTACTTGAAAAAAGTTGAAAAATGTTGCACACCTGAGCAATAAAACCAGTGAGTGTGCTGGTGCAAAAGTTAAAATTATCGACTTAACGATAAAAAAATTGTAGGTACACGCAATGTTATTATCAAGGATATTAAAACAGATGTGAGTCAGGGGTATCGAAGGGTACTCACAAAAAATACCATCATATTAGAAAACTAGTTAAATGGAATTTCAAAAGTATGGCTAAATTATGAATAATAATTAGGTCAGTATGTCTGTAACAGTTTGTCAGTTTGAGATATGTTTTAACAAGAGTTTAATAAGTATAATAAAATAGTTGAAACCAGCAGCATGTACTTGCTGCTAAAGTGCTGCAGTTCTATGCAAAATGTACAGATTACATTTTTAAATTTGTGTTTCAATATTGACAATATTTTAATGGTATACGGTCCAAGCTGTATATTTTTTGAATATCAAGTATTGAGTAAATTATAATTAATGATATTATTTACCAAAGAATATAAACTGAATAACAATTTTTCCTAAAAAATATTTTTCAATAATCGAGAATTTTGACTTTATTGACACCCACTCGTATTATATTATATTAGAGTTTATAGTGAAATCGCATGATTGTTGGCGCCACCGGCCAGCAATGGCTACAGAATAATAAACCACCCACGACCATTTAAAAAAAACGTGTTAAATTTTATTTGATTTCAATCAATTAATTGGTCATTGGCAAAAAATTAAACAAACTGCAATTTCACCAAAAACTAAATATGAGCAATCGATTGCGGACGATGACAGATCGATCATAATATTCGCTCGGTTTATGTAGACAGTATGAATGGTCTAATCTGAAATAGGAATTTGGTAATTGGTTAATAAATTTTCTTCAAATTTCAAAAAAAAAAATTAAGGTCAGAAAATTTCTTTAAATGGAAGTTTCGGTGTATAGTATAATTTATAAATAATATTTTATAAAAAATCCGTTTAATATTATTTATTTATATCTACTTTAAATTTTTGTTTCAGGAAAAGTGTGTGTGGAACGTAAAGAACCGACCTTTGATATTTCTGTTGATATTACTATTGGTTGTCTCGGTAATTGGAGCGTTGATTTACTTCACCACAGACATATTCAATAAACCTCAAGCAATAAAATACGAACCCTTACAATTTGAACGACTTCTCAGTGCCGACTACGAACCTAATCTTTTCAATGGGACATGGGTCCAAGGTGGATAGTTATAATTATTTATGACTTAATTTATATTTTACAAATAGCATTTCACTTAAGTAGTAAAAAAAAATGCCAAGAATTTAAAAATATGTTCTTTAGCATATTTAAAAATTCCAAAAATCAGAATTTGAATAAATTCATTATTAAATTAAAAAAATGGGGGTGAGCATAGGATGCTGAATCACTCTGTATACCACAATACTACGGTAATAATAGATAGATATCTAATATTTTCTACAAAATATGCACATTTCTTCAAAATACATGCCGTCATTCCTAAAAAATGCTTTTATAATAATGTACCTAAATATATTTTATATTCGCAATAAACGTTTTTCAATGTATCCACTTTCAAACAAAACATTTCTTACTCCCGTTGAACTGCATAGGTAGGTTAGGTAATTCTAGTAAAAATATTAAAATGCATAATAATCCAGACTTATAAACCATTACTATGCACGCGTAATGCGTATACACTATATACATATTACATATACAGCACGACGTGTGATGTCCTGCCAATAAAAAAACTCACTCCCTCCAAAAAATATCAAATTTTAAAACACATTTCAGTGGTGTTTTATTATATATTGCTCTTAATTTATTTCGCTATTATACAGTTTCCGTCCATATAATATGAGTATAGTTTTTTCACACAAAAGTCCTGATCTAATTCATCGTGCATATTATTATAAACAATATTCTTTTTTACAATATTTATGTTGTGTAATGTAAGTTATGTGTATTAAAAAACAGAAAAATAAAAAGAATAAATATTTACATTATAATGCAACAGTTGATTACATACACGACTCTAATATTATTGTATTTCATTTACTATACAGGTGATGAAATATTGATGAAAGACGACAAAGGAGATATTGTACTGTTTAATGTGAAGAATTTGAACACGATAGTCTTGGCAAACTCTACTAGAAAAGTTGGTATTTTTAAATACTTTATAACATATTTTAATTAAAACAACTACTACAGTTTAACATGTTATAATAATCTTCAATAGAATAAGGGACTCTTCGTAATCGTTTTTTTTGTAATTACATTTTTTAGAATGTCGTAAACGCCTTCCAATACGATCTCTCTGCCGACAAGCAATACCTTCTTTTGGCTTATCGCTACAAAAAGGTATACTATTACTTTAAATTTGCCAGCTTGACAGTTTCAATGTACTATACAAAATATTATTATATGTTTACAGGTTTACAGGCACTCATTTACTGCTTTCTACGATATAATCAACGTTAAAACTGGGTGAGTGTCTATTGATTACATAATGTTATATTGTCATGAATACTAGTTTTATAATTGGGGGTGAAAAAAAATTGTGTTACGAAAAAAAGGTAACATTTTTGGCGTACTTTCTGTGGTGCTTGAAAATTGAAATTTGAACCATATAGCTTCCAATCTCGTGCAAATTATGAATTTAGGAGTTGAAATAAGAATTAAAAATTACAATAAGTAACAATTTACATATTATATATATTATGAATTCAGGTGTGAGCCCCTTCATTAAAAGGAATGGAATCGAATAAAAGAAATGGAAAGAAATTATGTAGGAACTTATACACATCTCATTTTTATATTCATGTATTGATTTAAAAATCTCATATTACGGAATTTATATATGTATTTTTTTACCTTCTACTCTCGTGAAAAAACTAACGACTCCCCCAAAAATATCAAATCGATTAACAAATCAACTTCACATAACCGCACCTGTCAAAAAGTTATTATAAAGTTATTTTTAAAACTTATATTGATTGATTTCAACATAGTTTTCATTTTTCAAACACTTTACATAGGTACTTGTTTATAGCTGTGATATTATAGTGATTATTTATTTGCTTAGAGAACAATTCACGTTGCAAAACCGGGACTCAGTCAGCCCGTGGGATTTGCAGTTGGTCAAGTGGTCACCCGTCGGGCATAGTTTAGCGATCGTGGATCATAACAATATATATTACATACAAGACGTTAATAACCTGACAAGCACCGTACAGTTGACATTCACGGGTGGCTCGGAATTGTATAATGGCATTCCTGACTGGGTGTATGAAGGTAAGTACGTTTTTCGAATGTATTTTACACCCAACGTGCATTGTTTAGTCAAAATGAATATATAGGTAAGGAGACAAGTCCCATCCTAATAATAGCGACGCTGAAACTGAAAACCAGAAACTTCAAATCCCATCATCAATCCTATAAGAAATGTATAAACAATATGAAAAAAATGAAGATGATATTTTGCATTCATATTAAACAAATATTATAATATCAGATTATTACTTACGTGATTATAATTTGACTTTTTCGTTTTAAAGGAGCACGCAGCAAAAACAAAATGTGATCTCTTAAAATGAATATTAAAAACAATGGCTAAGCTTACTATTGTAGTCTATACTGTTTTGTAAAACAATGTTGTGCAATTAATTTAATGTAAAAAAACCGGCCAAGTGCGAGTCGGACTCGCGCACGAAGGGTTCCGTACCATAATCTATAAACATGTTGGCAACACTGCTTATATTATATATTCTAGGATTTTTAGTATTTGTTGTTAAAAGCGACAACAGAAATATATAATCTATGAAAATTTCAACTTTCTAACTTTCATGGTTCATGAGATACAGCCTGGGTGACAGACGGACGGACAGCGGAGCATTAGTAATAGGGTCCCGCTTTACCCTAAAAAAAGGGTTGTTAGATAATCGACCTTTCTTCTGTACTACATATTTGTACCTCGCCCGCTCGCCATTGAGTAATTAACTGTAATTCACGACGTGTTAAATCTGAATTCGATGACAAAAAATTATTCTGAGCGTCAACCTTTATTTTGTATTATGTATATTTTATGATATTTTTATACATTATAGTAATTTATTTTAATATCAGTAATATGGAATGAATCGGTAAAAGACCAAAGTTCAAAAATATAGTTTTAAATATTATCGTGTAAAGCGTGTAAAATGTAAAGTTCTAATTCTGCTGTCGTCTTCGGTGCAAAAATAAACACATCAAATATTTGAGACCAAAGTTTGAAAATATATTGTTTTAAATTATCGTGTGAAACGAATACGTTTTACTACTCAAGTAATTACGACGAGTCCAGTCCAATGACGTCATTAGGAACTCTCCAACTCATTGAACAATGGATGTGAAAAATATGAAGTAAAACCTATGCCTCCATTTTCTTAGAATTGAACATGATATAATATATTTTCAAACTAAAAAACTTACTTTTTTTGTGTTGCGAACTCCTTTAGTATATTTTGATTATATTTTGTTTTATTAGGACCTTAAGTAATAAAGTTATTGCGTTGCACGTGCGGTTATGAAAATAAATTAATGTCTAATATTGTTACTGATTTTATCGAGCCATTTTTTTTCATGACTTTGAGCTTTAATATGCATTTTCGCATGCGATAAGATGAAACTTTGAGGAAACGTTAGGTAATATAATTTATTCGTTTTATTATTAAATCTTTCAACCACCACTAAAAATCTTTATGGATTTAAATAATAAATTCATCTATAAGATATTAATATCGCCGACGGCTATTATCATTGACTAAGTATAATGGTTATAACCACAAACAATATAAATTATGAATAACAATTAATAACTAGAGCTTGCATTGAAATATACATAGGTTAGGTTAAGTTAGGTAAATATATTTTGATTTTATACAAGAGACATAATGATAATAATAATATTATGGTTAGTGAATTATTATTTTCAATGAGAAAAATAATTATAGTTCAAAGTATAATTCAGAGTGTAATAAACAAACAAATGTCGAGTCTAAATAAACTAAATAAATGTGTCATAATATGACGTACCTACTCTTCTTAAAATCAATTTTTCATTTACCTAAATTCTGCCTTATGACTGTCGTTGCCTATGATGTATTTCAAGTGTTAGCCCGTCGGTATAATAGTTTACAAATGTAAACATTTTCAACTACCAAAAAATGTATTTATTTTCGTGATTTGAACTTAAACTTTAAACACTTATAAATTATATTGGTGACATTTTTTTAATTGCTATAGTAAAAACGTTGTAAGCTAGTATTACACTTTAAAGTTTTTTGACCGAGTAAAAATGTTTTTATCGACATTGAATGATAAAAAAGTACTCAAAACTTTCTAAAGTCTACAAATAGCTCAAAAATATTCGAAATATTTTGAAAATTACATAGAGAATGTGAAAACCATTTGGTGAACAATTTCAAGTGTATGCGGATATTCGTTTTCGAATTAGAACAAAACAACAAAATCGTTCTTATCGAAATCCGTTTTTTCCCCCAATTACCTATTTTTTGTTTTTCAAAATAATTATTAAGAAGAGTACCTACTGAAAATTTCACTTTTATCCTATCTGAGTCTTTTATCCTATCTAGATATCATCTTTCTTGTGGTGAAGATGTTTATACCACAAGAAATGATGTACCTATTCAAAAAGAAAAAGAAAAAAACACACATCAGGTTGTAAAATCAATATGCCTACGTTCATCGCTCCGCTCAGATTATAAAATATGTACAGTGTTTCCTCGGAATGATGTATATATGTATAAGTATAAAAAAATTATATATTAATTCTCGAGCCGAAACCTCGTCATGCGCGCAGATAATTCTCAGCGCACACATTATTCAACCTCTGCTTCGGAAACCGCTAAAGCTAACTTCAACCCTAATATTATAACCACAATAATGGTGATAATATGCGATGATATTTCAGTAACACGATATCTTACAAATCGTTGATGCGCATAATATATTGCACGGACAGGGGCACACCGTACAACGCTATTTACGTAATACAATATCGTTTTGAATACGGGGTTTTTTTTTTTTTTTGGGGGGGGGGAAACGATGCAGATACACATAAAGTTTAACTCGATATAAATAGTATTTATTTTGAATTAAAATTGTACCAAAATTACTTAACTTGTTAATTATTATGAAGTATAGAATTTAATACCTCGATTGGTAATAGATTTTATGTGTATTTATACTGTTAAAATACAGATTTACAAAAATATGTCAAATGTTTCACAATTTATCCATACATTGAGATTAAATATGTACACACGTTGGGATAAATGAGACAGTAATAGAAGATTCATCACACAATTATGAAATAAATTTATAATTATGCTGTAAATTGGTTGGACACTTCTTAAATCATAAAAAATGTAAGCTATATGAACAGTTTGATTAACAATTTGTAAGTTATTTTTTAAGTAATTTCTTATCAGTCTTCATATGACATCAAAGAAATGTTAAAAAACTATTATACATTTTTTTATTGTTTCGCTGATTATGGAAGAAACCTTACATTCCATTTTATCTAACGTCGTCTTCTTAACGTTACCCTAGTTCCCATCATTATTGGAGGGACGCGCATAAAACACAACGACATATAAAAAAATACACAGGGTATTCCTTAAAAAATGTTCGATGTTAACTAGACGCAGAGCACCAACTAGGTTAAAAAGTTAAAGTTGAGTTAGAAACTTATTCTGATTCGATAATATTTAAAGAGTTGAATTGAATGATTAGAATAATCTGATTTAATAATTTAATAAGATTTTTTTTTTTTTTTTTTATAATAATATACTACTTATTATTATTATCATTATTATTTATTAATGTGTGTTTGTCATTATTTTTCGTTCACAGAGGAAATATTTAGTTCAAACAGCGCCACGTGGTTTTCGAAGCAAGGAAACCGAGTGGCGTACGCGTCGTTCAACGACTCATCGGTGCCCATGATGCAAATACCTGTGTACGGTTTCCCGGGAAACCTAGCTTACCAGTACCCGAGTATCGTCAGTATTCACTACCCGAAGGTTAGCGTTTTTGATTTCATATTATTATCATCAGGGGGGAGGATGTGATATTTTAAGGCATTTGCACGTTTCTTTTTTTTTTTGCTAAATCATACAATAATGGTTTTGTTCAAAATCCTTTTTGTGGTATTAATAAATCAATTACGAAATCTTATTTTGCATGTTTTTAAATATTTATCAGATTTTCTAGAACATAATATTATGTAAAAAACATGATTTCATCAATTCTCTGGGTTAATATACTTGCTTTACTACTAATGCTTTATTCGCATTCTTATAACAACATTTAAATTTTTTTAGATTCTGAGTAGAATGATGAAAGTATTGATTTTACAATAATGTATGTTTTTTTTTTAAATTTTCAAAATATTTTGATTTAATTTGAACTGTTTAGGGACATTTTCATTATCCATTTTTTTTAGTTTTTTTTTCTAAAAATATCAATAAAAATGTATTAGTTGGTTAAAAAAGTGTAACAATTTAATACAAGGCTTCTGATATATTGTTACATTATCAGTTGAAAAATAATACAAATACATAAGCACAATTTTTTTTTATAAGCATTTAAAGATCAAATGTTGACAAAATTTATAAAATTTAAAATTGAATAATTATTTTGTTGTTAAAAATGTTTAAAATGTTCAACTTTTATATCTAAGGATTGGAAATTTAAAACAAGATTCCACGTAAGTATTTTATTCTGTTACCAAAAAATCTAAAAAATACATACACAGTTTATTTTTATAGTCATTTGAAGTTCAAATTTGGACGAAATTACATAATAAAAAACCTAGAATAACTATTTTAGTTATTTTGTTGTGATTGTATACAATTATTATTCGTGGGTACTTGAAACTTCTAAAGTAAACTATTATATATCTATGATAGTATCAGGGTTTGTTGTTGATGTATAACATGTTGTTGATCTAATTAGAAATAAATGTTTTATTTTAGTAAATATAAAAATAATAATTAATCCACTTTTTCGTATTTTATGCCTGACCATCATACATGCGACGGCCTAAGATTAATCTTCGTTATTGTTAAGAACAAAAAAATCATATTGAGTATTTTTTGTACAATCTGTTTTTAATTGCATATTTTTGCATATTTTAAAGCATTTTTTGCCTGGCATAAATGCATGTATATTTAACAACTTTTTAGTGCATGCGATTCACAGGACACAACCCTGAATGTATCACAATTATTGTCATTATAATATTCATTTTTCAAATTATTATTATATTTTTTTCTTCAATTCGTAGGTCGGCGTTCACAACCCGAAGGTAGAATTGTTCGTTCAACGTCTGGACGTGATCGGTGAAAAACCTGAACCCATACGCATCGAGCCACCAAAAGAACTAACGTAAGTATTGAGTTTGAGAACATAATATTTATATTGTTTATATTATATAAGTGCAATTGAGTTAAGAACATGATTCTTTGAACATTGGGATTTTCGTGATTCGGATTTTAGTAACTGTTTTTTTGTAGTCTGAAAGAAGAGACTTTCAGGACCCCCAATGATCTTCGATATTTTAAATTGTTTTAGATAATAGTGGATAATATAAATTGTAAAATAAAACTTTAAAACTGTCTTTATATTAACGACATACTATATACTATTAGGTACTTACTATAAGGTTTGAATTTAAATAAATTGAGAAACGAGTTCAACTAAAAGGGCTGTAGAATATTTTTTGTCTGTTAATTAAAATAGTAGGTAATAATAAAATTTGGAGATTCTACACAGGACAGGACCATTTTAATTCCCTTTGCGGAGTGTAGTTTTGAGGACGAAATTACATTAGGGAGCATTAATAATATAATAATAATATGGTTACGAAAGTCCACGGCGGCGAAGCACAAATATTTTCGTCCTTACATTTGAAGTTATATCTTTTCGTAGGTGCGATTTTATAGGTATAATAAATATTGGCGTATACGAATAGTGGTAAATTAGCACGCCAACGACCGAATTTAGTTACCTAAAATATAGACTTTTAAATGCGTGCGTACAGGTATGTAAATGAATACGGGTTATAATCGGACTGCCTATTCAAACAATCGTACCTACACCTAATTATTTAAGGTACCTACTCGTTTTATAATATTATTATATATATACAGGATGTAACAGAAATACCTGAAAATTAAAAATTAAGACTTTTAGCTAACCATATGAAAATGATATGGATAATCCTTTAATCTGAGATTTACTTTTATGTACTTTTATGAAAATTCCCAAAAATAATATTTAAAAAAAAGTTATTTCGTCTCGAATTAATTTAGGTAAGTTAGGAAAGTAGGTACTCCAAATAAAATATATTGATATATTTCAAAATAATAAAATATCTGACTTGAATAAACGTTTTTACCATAAACATATTTCAAGACAATAGATTTACATATTATTGGCTATTTTAAATTATTCAAAACAAAAAAAATTAACTAAAATTGTTATTTTCAGTAAGTTGGGTACCTATCTATTAACATTTACATTGTATTTATACCGCAAGTTTCTGTAAACTATATTAAGCAATTTTCGTAAAATGTTTATACAAGAATCCTATTACTGAATAGTTTCTTCAATCAAGTCAATCAAGACCACTTATTTATCACTCTATCTATTGTGCTTATTGTAAAGGTATTTTATATAGATTACCGTACAAATTTAAAAAAAAGTACAAAAAAGTATTAATTAAGACAAAAGTTAATTATTTCATTTGTCAGATCATTCTGTTACATCTTGTATACAGGGTAATTCATCGAGCATGCTCACCCCCTTTTTTTTCAATGATACAGTTATTAAAAATCTGATTTTTACATTAAATTTTATATAATATAGATGAAGATCGTATATTAAAATTATTTTGATTTTTCGTACTGCTTATTAGGAGGGGCCTGTAGTATCTTATGTTTTTCAAATAATAACCCTCCTTTTATACTGTAAATTATTTTGTTAAGGTTTATGTAGGTATAAAAAAAATCTATATTCGGACGAGAGGTTTTTTAGTTAGGTATTTTGGTATTTAACTTTGTGTATTTGTGTATTAATGTAATTATAGGTCCATGAAAATAGGTTTGGAAGATATGTGGGATATATTACGGTGATTTAAACATTTTAGTAATTAATATTTTATTTATTTGATTAATCGACATTTATTATTTCTAAAAATGATCCAAGTATAATATAAATCCGATATTAAATAATCTATTTTGTATTTTTGTAAATCCATTTTTAAAGAATATGGTTTTCATAATATTAATATTTCAGTAACTGAAAAACACCTCGTTCGATTTTTGAATTAGGTAGGTTATCAACATTTTCATAAAAAGTATCCTTTACATATTTTACAGTAGAAAAGGGTGGTTCTCATTTGAAAAACTGAATTTTTTTCATCACCGCGGGACACTCCTTTAACCTAAGTAGTAAGTATGCTGGTTACCTGCCCAATTCAAACAATCTCTATAATTTGATAACAATGTGGTCTTAAAGTCTCATTGCAAATTCCATAACTCAGGATTTTAAAGGTGCATTATTAAAGTAAAAAGAGGGTGAGCATATTTGGTAAATCACTCTATATTAATTCCTAATTAGGTACTTCAACATTAAAAAAAAAAAAAAAAATCTACTAAATAATTTACATAATGGAAAATGTTGGTTCTTATATTTTTGAATACTAAAATCTGCAATATCACAGGGTACTCCTTAATAGTAGTACAAGCAATCTCAATATAGCTTAGTATTTAAGTATATTTAAAAATTCCAAAAATCAGAATTTGAGTAAATTCATTATTAGAGAAAAAAACGGGGGTAGCGTACTTGGCGAATCACCCTGTATATATGTATGTCATTACGAACGAAGAAGACTCCTAATCGAAAACAGAACTCGATTGCGTCCGATGGTTTTATGGACGTGTGAATTTACATATTTTATAATTCTCGCCTTTGAAATAATAACAAATTGATAAGACATACGTTTTAAGCGAATCGTCAGTGTGAAATATCTCGTTTTGGTATAATAATATGTCGGTATGAATAATTTGTTTGCTATTCTTGATTCGGTTTCCGACGAGGACGACGTCTTAAGTGGTTATACGACCAAATACAACAGTAGTTACCTACATAATTAGCATGATAAAATGTATTGTCAACTGTGACACAGCTGACAATTATTATAATATTATACAACGCAACTGCAGAACCACCAAGCCATATATATTTTATTATTCCCATATATTATAATTTTGAATTTTGATTAAGTTCTACAACTGACGAGTGAGGATATAATAATATAATATGTTTCCTCAGAGGATCAACTCACGTAAAACAAATTTTGTTTTAGTTTTCAAATATTTATAAGCTATTAAATAATATTAATAATAAACATATACTTATATAACGGTGCGGGTAGAGGGCAGGTTTTCAACCCTTCGCTGAAAATAAAAGTATTTGTGTGTGTGTGTAGAGTTATTATTATTATTAATTCAACTGTCGTTGGGATTCCCAACTTGGGATTTATAAAACCTCCCTCCGAAATTAAATCCTGTACACGCCACTGTCAATAATTTTGATATTTATAAAATACGTGCCTCTGTAAATGTTCCCTTATTGCTTTAAATTTTACCTGTAACCTATAAAGTAATAGCAAATATAATATTGGAGGTGATTTGTTTACAATTTGTAGATTTTATATAGAGAAATAAATTAGTTTATCGAATAAATTATCTTTTAAATATTTAATTCTATGTTTGAATTGCAGTTCAGTCACTAAAAATATTATTCTGAATACGGTAGTATGGTCAGATGATACAAACCTATTTGCAATGTGGATGAACCGAATACAGAACAAATCATATTTAGTTCATTATTCCGTCTTCAATTCTGCAGAAAGTGTTAACGTAAGTTTCGTAAAATAAAATAATATTAAAATAAATATTATGTGTTATCGACAATATTCAGTGGATGCCGAAACCACATAGATATTGTGTTGTCTCCGTCTTACAAACGTACAGCATAGCAAATCTGTGTTCGGCAGAACCAGTTTTGTATTATTATAAATTTAATTTTATATGAAAATTACCAGCTATTATCAAACTAAAAAGTCAGAATATTAGATAAAATTATTATTATCATAAATGTTGGTACAATTCCAAAAAATAAACTTGCAAAACGAGAGTTTTTCCTGGAAAATTAGGTAATGTTGGTTATATTAAAAATTTACCCAAAATATCGTTTATCTAAATAATTGAAATAATACTTAAAAATAATGGAAATCTCCAATAAATAACAATAATAAAATTAATTTAATTCTTATTACTAATTATACTACCTATTATTTAAGTTGTAAAGTCCGCTGTGGTGAACGAACTTACGAATTCTATAAATTCAGGTTATAATATAATTGTATAATCTTTATTTATGTATTATTATTATTTAACATAATTTATAATATTAATATCGAGATGTATGAACAACTACTAAACATTTACTGAATCAATAGTGAACTAATCATAGTTTAGAGCCATGATTGGTGCATTCAATTTTATTGAAACATTATAATATAATATAGATATGTCCAATTTAATTTATTATTTATACAATGTAACCAATTATGTAATGTAATATATATATTCACAAAAATCATACCTAAATAAAAAAAATTAAAATTCTAATAAAAATAATAAACACACTTAAGAGGACGTGATACCCGCATGTGTTGTCTCCTTCTTACAAGTGCATATCATAGCAAATTTTAAGCTCAACAAAACAAGTGTAGCTTCATTAATTTAAAAATTAGAGTAAATTAACCTCTTATAAAATATAAAGGTAAGATTATTATCTAGACAATCTCATGGGCTTTTTATAATATTTTAAATTTGAGATAGTTATGAGTACTTTAAGATCTATATACAATTTACAATTTTAAAATACTCATAGTTCGCTTAAAAATTGAAATATAATAAAATATTCATGAGATTGTCTAGATAATAATCTTACCTTTAGATTTTATAAGAGGTCAATTCACTCTAATTTTTAAACTAACGGAGCTACACTTGTCCTGCTTTGCGTAGAATTTGCTATCTTACGCAATTGTAAGACGGGGACAATACATGCGGGTATCAAGTCCTTATTTAAAAAAGATATGTTGACAAAAAATTATAATTAATTAATTAATACAATTTATTAAGTTTTTATCCTAGTAAATGTATATATATATAAAACATAAAACATACGGCTTAAAGAAATTATTATAATAGTATTCCAATTAGAAATACTATGAAAATAATTAATTCAGTGTTTTCGGTGGAAAATATCACTAAGTGCGCGAATAAACATTACTACACAGAGCCTTAATAATATTGTCAAATTAAAACAATTTAATTACCATTACTTTTGTTTTTATCAAAAAAAGTATAATGAATATTGCGGTTTTTCTGTGATAATGCATACAAGAGTACAAGATTATATTATTATATATATATGTTCATTGTAAAACATAATATGTGTGTATACGTATTGACTAATTAAAGAGTTTAAATTAGAATATAAAAGGGTGATTATATTATTATCATTTATTAACTTAGGGTATTTTGCAAAATTACTCAATATATGTAGCACGTCTACAACAAACTGTGCAGTACAAGACTCGCATGCTAAAAATTAAAAACTATCACTGTATTATATTATTTTATTATTAAAAACATTTTTAAAATAAGAAAACATATTTTTTATGTCACACCTATTATATTTATTGCCTATTGATAAAACAAAACATTTGAGAGGCAGGAAGATGTTCATAATAATAACCTTAGAGATTTATATTAGGCATTCATATAGATAAATCTGATAATATCTATAATACCTTTATTATGCCAATGAAAGCTAGTGGTTACTCGAATTCAAAATTTGTCATATATTTAATGCCAAAAAAAAGTTTGGTTTATGGATACTTGTATTACCTAATTATAGAAAATAATATAAGGATCTCAATTCAAATTAAATAAGAAAAACATAGTAACTCACTGTGCTATATTATACCACAGGTTTCAAGTTTACCTCGTCGTAGCTAGTTCACTGTAATGGGTGTGTTAAAATAAAATTTGAATTCCATCTTTAATATCGATGAAAAATAAAAACGGTTCTGAGCAAAGACTGCGTTCGGCATTTTTTTCTAAGGATATTAAAAATAAATTTTTTTTGTTATTGATATAATAGATTTAATTAATTTTTGACAAAATTATTATATAATATTATGACGTGTATAATAATTATTAAAATAGTACTGTTATAATAGGTAATTTATACGAATTAGTATATCTACTGTTTCTCAAAGGCAAATTGCTGTATTCAGAATACTTTTAATGTTTAATGATTAAAGTTAAATTTTTTATTTTAATGGAATTTATTGTTGTAAATCATAAATTATTACAGTTTTATAAACAAATAAAATATATTTTTCTATAATATAGATTTTTTCCGAATATGAGTTAAATTTTTTAATATCCAAAACAAAAATTATTTTACAAGTATTTGGAATACTATTTATTATAATTCATAAGTATTCAAATATTTTATTTCAGATCCATTTGAAAAGTATTTACCCACACTTGAAATAGATTAAAATTAGTCTATATAATTAAAAAATATTTTATTGTGTATAGAAAATCAATAATAGTATAATAAGTTATACACGCCATAAGGTATTGGTATAATAATCATATAAGATAAAATAAACCAAAAATAATCATAATAATGTAGTCCATAAAAAAGAAAAAGTTAAATAAACATCGTAATATTTTTCTATTAGTTTAGGCAGTTAGAGTAAGCAAACAAATAAAATATGTGTCATGATTCTTAAAATCGGGATGTTATAACCAGGGACTGGGATCTTTTGAATTTTATGAAATAACTGTTCCAGTTCGGTTCTGGTTTTAAAAAATAAAGGTATCGGTTCCAAATAATTTCGGTACAGAAAACAGTTATACTATTAAATTATGATCAATAAAATAATTCTATTTTTGAATCTAAAAGTACCCTTTTAATTTAATAACTCCGGTTTGGTTCCGGTACTTTATTTATTAAAATAAAGGCTTTGTTTCCGGTTCGGGTTCTTACTATTTTAAAGTTTCCGGTTCCTTTAGGTTTGGTTCCAGTCTCTGGTTATTACATAATATTGTGCTATCTTAAATTTATGAGAATGCATTAAATTTAAGTTTTAAACCATTCCAATAAAGTCAGCAGTATTATTATTTATTATTTTATATTTCAAAATAACTATAATATGTACTAGGTAACCACTATATCTTTTAAACACGAAAGTATGATTCTCTCTCCTTACAGGTAGTGACTTTTAGTCAACCCGGTGGATGGTTGGATTTCACTCAAATACCATTGGTCGGCGAAGGACACCGCCTGGCTATAATTTATCCCGTGAGACAATCGAACGGAGATGATTTCAAGCACTTGGTCGTGGTGGAACCCGATGGAAAACTGACACCAGTAACAAGTGGCAAGTTCGAAGTCCTCGAACTTCTGAAATGGGACGTCCAGTCAAATTACATGTAAATAAACTGCGATTTTATAGCGACAGGCCTAGACTATTGCGTTAGTTGGTGAAGAGATTTTTCAAATACAACTAGTAGGTAGTAGCTATCTAGGCAGTAAGCGAATATTTTGGATTCTCAAAATTCAACGATTACAAAACCACGCACAGTATTTTAACTGTTGCCTTTTTAGATTCTGAGTGAAACGATGAATGTATTGATTTTACAATGATGTGTGGTTTTTTTTTTTTATTTTTTTTTTTTTTTTTGTATCTGTGTACACGATAATAGTAGTCGAAATAATGCTTCGATTTTCGACTTCAGTATCTTGTTCGATTGGAAAATGAATATCGTTGGTGCATTGGGGAGGTCAAAATTTAAATTTCCCATTAGTTTTCACAAGCGCCGGGAAAAACAACATAAAAATTAAGGAAAAACGGGAATTTTTACGCAAAATTGATTTTCCAAAAAATCGATTTTGGTTATTGGTGTAACTCTAAAACAAATGAACGTATATACATGAAATTTTCACTGGTTGTTTATATTTGCATTTTCTATACACGATAACATTTTCAAAATATTTTGATTTATTTTGAACTGTTTAGGGACATTTTCATTTTTCGTTTTTTTTTCGTTTTTTTTCTAGAAATATCAATAAAATTTTATTTGTTGGTTGCAAAAGCTTGAAAATTTAATAGAAGGCTCCTAATATATTGTTTCAAAGGCAGATGAAAAATATTAAAAATCCTTAGTCACAATTTTTTTTTATAAGCATTTAAAGTTCAAAAATTGACAAAATATGGAAAAATCACGAAAATTAGCAAATTATTTTGAGTTAAGAATTCGTAAAAATTTTTCTTTTTAAATCTAAGATTTGAAAATCTAATACAAGATTACTCATAAGATTGTCTACCTTTATCAATAAAAAAATTTCTACCGGAAAGTCAAATTAAATTTTTATGAGCGTTTGAAATTCAAATTTTTACAACATTGGATATTCACTCGATTTCTCATGTGGCAATTTCCTTTTTTTGTTGTAATTAAAAAACGAATTACTGTAGATACATGAAAATTTCACTGAATGTTTATATTAGCATTTCCTATACACCCTACAATTTTGAAAATATTTTGACACTTTTTGAGCCGTTTACGGACATTTTCAGTTTTAAATTTTTTTAGTTTTTTTTTTCTATAAATATCAATTAAGTTTTATCTGTTGGGCCAAAAAGTGTAAAAATTTAATACAAGGCTCCTGATATATTGTTACAATATCAGTTGAAAAATATTAAAAATACATAGGCACAATTTTTTTTTATAAGCATTTTAACATCGAATTTTGATAGAATTTTTCAAAATCTCGAAAATTATTAATCATCGTAATTAATAAATTATAAAATGTTCAGTTTTTATAGCTAAGGATTGAAAATTTAAAACAAGATTCCACGTAAGTAGTTAATTCTCTTACCGAAAAATCTAAAAAATATACAATCACAGTTTATTTTTATAGTCATTTTATGTTCAAATTTGGACGAAATTACATATTAAAAAACCTAGTTATTTTGTTGTGATTATATAATATTATTCGTGGGTACCTACTTGAAACTTCTAAAGTGTACTATTATATATATATGTTAGTATCAGGATTTGTTGTTGGTGTATAACGTGTTATAAGTACCTAATGGATATTGTGATATGATTAATTTGGAATTTATTTTAGGTCAATTTTTTTTTTAATACCATAGATATGTATATAATTTGTCTTAAACCTAGACTGATATACCGTCTTCGCTCAGAATCGTTTTTCTTATACAATGATATTGAATCATTGAATTCAAATTTAATAGCATCCATTATACAGTGACCCACTTGTAACCTACTGTACAGCAGAGCGACATCCACTTACCCACCTTTTTTAATAATATTTTACATTTATTTTTATTAATATTTTTATTTTAAAGATAGTTTTAATCATAGTGATTAAAAAATAAATATTACATTAATTGCAATATTGTCAGGTTAAAGGTCATACATTAAGTTATATTGCACCTGCTCTTCAAATAAAAAATATATTTATGTTAAACAATGTCAATTAAATATTTTAATATGATTTTAACTTTTATCCCACTCCCCACTTGAAATGTTGAGCCCCTGACTAAATGTTTTTTCGGGCCCTATACAAATCGTTCAATAATAAGATACAACCCATTACAAGAGGCTGTGACACACCAGTTGTTCTCAAAGTGTTCACCATGTTGTCATTACAGAGGCACCGTGCTGCCGTATAATTTTATATTTTAAAAAATATAGGTAGGTATTTGAAAACTTGACGATGACGGCGATGGAAACATTTACTATTATGTGAATAAGAATGTACAAATGATGTATCATTTGAATAATTAAATACATATTTTCATATTACAAATTTTCCATTCAAATGTTTTGGTTTTTATTTATTTATTATATTTCTTATAATTAGTTATTCTATGACTTGGGAAGGGCGCCCTTAGAATACTTTAGGCAAATTACCTTAAGATCAAAAAAGTTTGGGAACCGCTAAGTCATACACGATAATTTCTAGATAATCAATACAATTAACCCACAGCTTAAAATATCAAAATGTCTTATACTTCATAAAATATTGTTTAACATAAAATAAGTATTTTTTATCAAAATTAAAAAAATTGCAAATTTATTTCAAACGGAGCCCCTGTAATCCGGATGCCCACTACCCTTCCAACAATGTGGGGGGGACTCCCTCTATAATTATGTCTAATCTAGATAGTTCCATATTATTTTTAACGTAAATTTGAGTCTCTAACCTTATACATAATATAATATTAATAATACTGTATTATTTGTCTAAATCAAAGTGTATATCAATAATAACAATTTATTATAATACATTATAATGTTGTCTTTTCTTATAGTTACTATTTGGCCAACACGGAAGAAAATCCGGAAGAACAGTATCTGTACCGGGTGTTGGTTAAAGAACAAAATTCACCAGAATGTATGTCCTGCAAGACGGAATGTAAAAATCACAAAGCAGATATGAGTGTGGAAGTCGATTATTATGCGCTCATATGTTCTGGTCCAAACGTACCAGAAGTCAAAATTTTTAAAACGGTATAAGCTCAATACATGGGTATATTATTATTTCTTGGTAATATTAAGTATAATATAACATTTTATATCCTATAACACCACAGCAGTAATAATTAAGGTCCGGATATGAATGCGAAATACATTATTTACATTAATTCCCAGGCAATAATTTAGTAGAAAGTTCAAAATCTGTTTCATACACAATGTAAAAATTGAAAACTTAAATTTTATTTTGAATATTTATTAGTTTTGGAGTTTTTAGAGCATTTTTATAACTTTTAAGTCATCTTATTAGTTTTTGTTAAATATATTTATTCATAATATACATTTTTAGATTAAATTGAATTGATAATTCGAAATATTAGCTCGAGAGATTTTGTGCTGACCATTTATTTTGTATATTTTATATAATATTATTAATATTCGATGATATCGATACGTCGATAACTTATACCTATTTATCTATCAATAATGAGAATAACAGCTGTTGTGTGTCTAGGACTCGGAATATAGTAATAATTAATTGGCTAGTTGGTGCGTTAAGTAGATACCTAATCGCGTTTATTTCTTATAGTTAAATTTTTTGTTGGCTCAAGAAGAATTGAAAAAATGTTATGGTCATTTTCTAAGAGCATTTTACCCAGGGCTTGAAACTGGTTTCAAAACTGATTTCAGAAACCGGTATAAACCGTTATAAAACCGAAACCGAAAACAAAATCAAAACAAAAACCGAAAAAAATTGAAATTGGTATATTAACTTCAAAACCGAAACCGGAAAAAATTTCATACCGGTATTAACTTCAAAACCAAAACTTTATAAAAAATTCGGTATTATAATTAAAAACTGAAACCGAAAATATAATTTAAAAAACGATATTTTTTTTGAAATCTTAGTATTTTGACATTTTGGAAAGTTTACTTTACACAAGTGACGATTCAAACGCTCGATCCTCGGCGATTTAAAAAAATTAATCAACTAAGATTGAACGTAAATAGTCCAGGTCTGGAAACCGATTTTAGAAACTGTTTAAAAACTGAAACAGAAAACAAAATCAAAAACGAAATCTTAATAAGGGCAATAGGGAGGGGGGCTTCAGCTTGTAAGCCCCCTCCCTGCGTACGCCATTGTAACTAAGTATAAAAAACATGGTGAATAATTGTAGCTACTAAATGCATACAATTTTCTATTAAAAATTAACCTCAAAGTTAAACATTGAAGAGCTTTTTTCTACTTTAGAAAGTGTCTTTACTCTTCATAATCCTACATATAAAAAAATTAATTACAATTGTAGTAAACATAATTTATTAATTCAGCCAAAATAATAACTATAGCCCATATCGTTATATTTTGAATTTATACAAATTATAACATTCACAATACATGTTTACAATAATATTATGTTATTGTTACTTTAATATAGTTCTACGCGTGTTTTTTTTTATTAAGACTGGTGAAAAGGCTTTGGACTGGGAAACGAACGAACAACTCAAAGATTTAATATCTCCGATCACTCTTCCCCGAGTGTCATTCATCGACGTACCCATCGGTAACGACTTCAAGGCTCGCGTCCGTCTAATACTACCGCCGGCTGTCGACGAAAGCTCGGACGTCAAGTATCCTCTGTTGGTCAACACGTAAGTGACCGATTGACTAATCTCATACACACAATAATGTATCATAAGTATCAAATCATGCCTCTGTAATACCCAAAGGTGGGCACTAAGTAATAAGGAAGTATAAATTGAGTTGAAAAGTTAACTATATCTTAATAGTTTAACTGTTGAGATAACTTAGCTTGTTTTTTCAATTAGTATAAAAACAATTTAATATCAAGTTAAAATTAAAAATGTTTAAAATTATTTTCATACATTAACTTTTGGTGGGTAGGTACTGCATGCATGGTTTAAAATAAAAAAAAAACTAATAGTCTAGTGCTATTAATTATAGTTATATAATAAATAGGTACTATAATTTCTGTTGTTTCTTGATAAAATAATGTTATAATTATTATGCTGATATGCAAAAAATACTTTTTATATTTTAATAAAAATGTAGATGAATTTTCTTTGAAATGAATTACCACCTAAGTAGTGTCGTATACGAAGTTCACAGACGTACACAAATAAATTAACTTTATAATAAGCACTTTTATTAAACTTTGACATCCAGTCGCGATCGAGTCACACGATCAACACTCACTGACCCTCTTTCTATCTTCCCATATTACTTATATATCAATATTACAATCGAAGTGGTTACAAATAGTTACACTATTGGTAGTATCGATATTAAGTTTAACCTAGTTACATTATACTTACTGACTATGGTTAAAATTATACCAATTGTTATCTTATCCTAATTTGACGGAATGCATAATTGTTTCTATGTTGTTACTGAGCTTATTGAGTAATGTATGATTTGATTTGTTTTGTTTTGGTATTTTACCTGTTACATATGAATGTTTACTTAACCTAGTTAATAGTTTTAATTATATTATGCATGATACAACAGTAGTAAGTTAGTATTATTTCCAATCTTTATTAACTTTAAACTAAATCAGTTAATAATTTATTATTTATTAACTATTTAGTATAACTTAACGATCTTGTGTTCAATTAACTTAGATTAACTTGAGTTAATTATTTTCATTAACTTCCCCGTATTTGCCTAAGACCTTTGTCTATAACTATCTTTAAACTGATGCTATATTAATATATTATTATGTATAGTTATGCTGGTCCCGGATCAAATTTGGTTATCAACAAGTTTTCGTTGGAATGGAACATGTTTTTTAGTTCGAGCAAAAATGTGATCGTAGCTCAAATCGACGGCCGTGGGTCAGGAAGAAGAGGTAATAGAAACACGTTTGCCAACTACCTGAAATTGGGTACCTACGAAATCGAAGACCAGATATCCGTCGCGAGGTAAACAGTTTCCCACATAATATTATAATGTACCTATTTACAATTATTATTTATAAATAATATTTTAATAAAAGATGGATCTCCTCCTCGAAAACCAACGATTGTAATAATATAGGGTGACACTCAAATTGCCTCCTAAATTTAGGTAGTTGACCTTTTTTTACTCAAATTTCCTCCAGGTATTTTGGAGGCAATTCAAGTATACCATAAAAGTCTATTCGAATTGCCACTCATAGCATACCTAGATTATTAATTAATATATCGATGGTTGTACGTGTACTATCTATATAATTACATCAACTTCCGAAATGTTCAATAATATTATTTTTTTAAGACATATATAGACATACAGTATTTCCCAGATAGATTAATTTGTTGAAAGCAATAATTTTGTCGATAAATGATTATCAGTTTAAGATTAGTCCATCATCACAAGTTCAACATTGTCAGTTCCGTTTGCGTAACTGTTACCATACATAACACGACAAACGTTTAACTGAACGTTATTAGTGAAAAGGGCACAACAATTTTAATTTGGAACAAATTTAAGTTTGGATTTGATAAGGTTAATTTTTGTTCAACTCACACTCATATTTAAAAATGTTATGTGTCAAAATGATAATACAGTTAGGTACGGTAATATTAATAATATCTTCCAAGATGAAAACCAAAACAATTTAGACAACCAAAAAAAAAAAAAATAAATTTTATTTATAACTCAATTGATGAATTAAACAGATGAAGTTTCAAAATTACACTATAGTTAAAGGTATTGGCAAATAAATTTAAACCTAGTATTCTAGCGTAATAGATACTACAAACTTAAATTTTTATTTTTATTAACATTTTATTTTTATATAGTATGTAATAATATTCTTTATTATTTTTAATTATTATTCATTTATTACTGTTGTTTTTATTGAATTATTTAAAATATTAAAAATATGAGGCATTCAAGTGAATGATATTTTTGAAATTATGAGGCAAGCGCCCTAATATAGAGGATGTCCCGTGTGAGTTTTAATTTTTACGTTTTTTGTAGCCAGAGTGCACCGTAGTCTTATCCAAAAATTATATTGTTATATTGAACAATCTGAGTTCCGTCCACAGTCTTATCGACAAATTGCATTTAGTATTTCTTCGTACACACCCGAACTTTTAAAAGACAGAACTGACGGTTGACTATAATACAATAAAATATTACAATAGTAAATATGTACAATTATTTACCCAATTTCTACATCAACAACTGCTGCGACAATGGTAGAGCACTTAATTTTAATTTCGATAATCATTGAGACCGAATACGACTAGTTTACGTTCAATAAGTAAGTACGAGAGAAATAGTGCCATAATTGACGAGTAGACAGGTGTTTTTAATTTTCAAACAGTGTATGATTGAATAATAGATTTAAAAAAAATAACAATATTGATTTACAGTTATCTCCAGGAACGATTTTCCTTCATTGACAAATCCAAAACAGCAATTTGGGGTTGGAGTTATGGCGGTTACACGGCTGCCATGGCTTTGACTAAAGACGACAAAAACGTGTTCAAATGCGGATTGTCCGTCGCTCCTGTCACCGACTGGATATACTACGGTATAATAATTATATCCTATATAATATATTAATAATATGTATATTATTTAAATTAGATATTTTGTTATTTTGTTTTGTCCCACATATTTATTTGTATAAATTTAATTTGGTTTCGTGTACTTAAACATAATACAAATACGCGTTTTCAGACTCGATATATACGGAACGTTACTTGGGCTTGCTTCAAGATAACACAAGTGGATACAAAAACGCGAGTCTATTGACACACGCAGAAAAACTTCGTGGCAAGAAATATATGGTTATACATGGCACGTATGATGACAACGTCCATTACCAACAATCCATGATGCTTTCCTATGAACTGGAACGAAGAGTTATACTTTTCAGACAACAAGTAAGCACATTATATATCTACTCAGCTCTAGTACTCTACATTTGTCTCCGTGTCGAGTGTACCTCGTAATTGATGATTATTATTCTGTAATTTATGAATTAAGTTTGAATTAAATATGATCAACCATTGAATGATACTATAAACAATTCAGAACACAGGCGATCTATCAGCCTACATACTACAGCTTGATAAACATTCGAATACTTGAATTAAAATACTTTTTTGGTATTTCCGATGTACATCTAAAATTCCAATGACCAATAAATTCATACTTTACCAAACAAAATGTATGAAAAACGATGATCTTTACATAAAACCAGTTTAGACAAATTGTTTTAGTTTTTATGGTTTAACTTAACTTAGATACTCCAAACTTTCACAAAATTATTATATGTTAATTTTCCACACTTGTTAAAATTTTAAAAATATTTTGGCTCTTTTTTTGAGCTAAATATAGGTGTGAGAAAAATATTTATATTTTTTAATTACTGTCAATAAAATATATGGCAACTTAGGCCATTGAGTGGTTTTTGATTGTAGGAGAGGGTACTGTAGGCTTAAACACCTGTGTTTGTTAGATTAGCAGAATTTTCTAGTGGGCACCCGTAGGTATCCGTCATGACAGGGTGGAGGGTTGCCTCTCTCTCCAGACACCGTGACTATGACTGCTCGAAGAGAAGTGCCACCCTTAATACTCCTTAGTCCGTTCGGACACTCCGTCCCCGTGTATTTGTTTTCTGTCACCACATAGGTACACTTGTTGTGCTAAATAGTACAGATTATTATTATTATTTTTTTTTTTATCTTAATAAAAATTAAAATCAAATAAACATACAAATTATGTTTATTCGTATATAATTTAAAGTAAAATAATATGCTCCGAATGAATGATAAAATACTAATGAATGGATTTTTTTTTTTTTACAGACTTATCCTGATGAATCGCATGGTCTATTAAGCGTTCGCAATCACGTGTATCAAACAATAGGTTCATATTTGTTAGATTGTTTCAACGGCAGGTTGTGATCTCAATAACTATGATTATTAATTACAGGCATTGTAACATTTTTTTTTTTTTTTAATCATTTATTGATTTATTATTGTTTTGTATTTTGAATTATTATAATATTATTTGTCCTGGTATCAGTGAGTGAAATATCATTCAACGATGTTTTTTTTGTATTATTTATTTTCTTTTGAATATACTCAAACCCTCAGAATTTTGTTAATCATAAAAAAATATCACACTGGTTATACTTACTTAATATATTTAAGACGTTTTCATGATATTGTATTTAACAATTGTTTTTATTATTGAGTGTTCTATACGCATTTATTGTTGTGCCATTTATAATAAATCAACCACTTAAATACACGAAATTGCTTTAAATAACGCGTATTTACACATTATAAATCATCATTCAAGATGTGCCATCCATAGTTTGATGCAAAATGTTATATAATACACTTCCGTTAAAGGTCATCTCTACAACACGGTCACCTGTATGTGACGGTATTTTTTTTTCGGTCCCGTCATGTGTCATGGGAAAAGTACATTAAGGGGGTTCCAGTCAGTTATTTTCTAAGGAGTAAGAATTAGGCAAATTATACGGAAAATACAAATTACACGTGTGAAAGTGTAAATTAACATTAGTGTGTATGACACACCTCACTGTATGTCAACACGTCGCTAAAAGTATCCAAATTCTAAGAACCAACGTTCTTTCACTAGCATTCACATGTTAAAAAAGGAAAAAGTATACGGTTACTTTTCGAGTAAAAGCATACCTCAGCTGTGACAAAATTATGAGACTTTGGTTGGTGTGATTTTGATTTTGTAACAATCCTAACAATTATTAACACTTCCTCTAGAGAGCGGTCGAAGAAATTTCTTCAATACAAATGACTGAACAAAAATGTTGTAAAAACTGAAATTTGTAAATATAATATTTTCAAAAGTTAAAACTTTAAAAAAAATCTCTGACCGTTCTCTTGAGGAGATGTTAAAAAATGTTATTATTTTTACAGCATTAAAATTGAACCATCTAAAGTCTCACAATCTTGTCACAGCGGAGGGTCTAAAAAAGATTTTTTTTTTTTTTTGATCGACTGGAACCACATTAATATACATCTATATAGCTTGCACTCTAAATAACGTTAAAATTATAAAATAAAATAATATTAAATAATAGTAGGTACATATGTATGATTTACCCAAATTATTTATAGCAGTTTATAGTAGTTATCTTATCGAACTTATACGATAACGTTATGGTCACCCCATGTCCCCAAGTCTGTATATTTTATTATGTTTCATTAGTTGTCAGTGTCAGTTGAAAACGTATTGAAGTACGTGGTTATGATGATGTCCAAACGAAACACCTAACTGTAGCAGAACAAATATGAGTACGCGTGGTCTCACAGATAAATTTCGAATAGGGAAAACTCAAGCTACCTATTTAATATAGAATAAAGATACGGTTTTAGAACTAAGGTATGGGTGAAATGAAAACGTCTTAAAACGTTCTAATCAATTACCTAATAATATCAATGATGTTATGTACGAATGGTTTTGGAAATTATTGTGTATGTATTTGGTTTTTCTTATGCACTCTATACAGCGGTCACCTGGAAGTATTGCACTTCTATTAACGGTCACCTCTGTAGGACGGCCACCTCTAAATACCGGTCATTATTTCCGGTCCCTTCGGTGACCGTTACATGAAAGTTTCACTTTAATTTTGTTATTTAATATTATGCTACTGTTATACCACAACAATTAAAAGAATACTATTTGATCAATTTTTTCATTAAAAACGTACCATTAGGTAAATAATATATATTATAGCTCCGTCGTATAAGTACTTTAAAATCAATAAAATTATTTTTTAAATGTCATTATATAGAGTTAATTAACAATATGTGTAGATACCTAGTAATGGACAGCTTCAAGTTCCTACAAATAATATTTTTAGTGTTATACAACAAAATAACAATATTGGTAAGAAGTCACTTCGATACCAACATGTAATCACTGTGTGTACATGATAGAGGAGGGAATGCCCGAAAGACCACTCGGTGATGTCTGAGCATAACGTTACGCTCACGTAAGAGTTCACGTTCATTAACATCCAATAAAATTAAGCTTGAAGTTCGGTACTACGTATAACCAACCGTACGTACAAAACTCGTCCGAAAATGGGGCGTTTTAAAACATTGTAGTTTTTTCAGAAAGTAATATTGTTGAGATTATTGAGAGTTGTAAGTCATTGTAAGTTGTTGGCTGAAGAAGAAGAGCTTATACTAGCAGAGTAAGCGGGTTTACCCTGGAATCTATAGATGGGCTAAATTATTGGATGTCTATAAATAAATAAAATATGCACCGATGGGAAGCTCTTCATATATTAAGTTAGCGGCATTTATAGATGGTAAACGGGCTACAATAAACCCTCAAAACAGTGACCAGCAATGCTTCAAGTGAGCAATTCTTGCGAGACATGTGTCGGTGCAAAGTAAATATTATGTTGGAGAAAGTTACAGACAGCATGAGAACAAATATAATTTCAATGGTATATAGTTCCCAACGCCATTATCCGATGTGAAGAAATTTGAAAATAATAACCCAACCGTCTCTGTGAATGTACACGGGTTAGATAAAAAATTCTAAAACCCATCTGTTAATGTGCATCTATTTTTAATTTTTCGATATTAAATATTATGTATAAAATCGTTTTTTTTTCCTGTCCAGAATTGGTTACAACAGTATTTTCAAAAATACATCCACATTTACTATATAAAAGTAGATTTTCATTTTAAAAACAGAGATTTGTATGTGTGTACAGATCACTACTTAAGTGGTGCAAAACAATTGAGGAATCGAAAAACATTGTCTTTAAGTAAGTATATTTAATGATTCAAAAAATCCTATATCAATTAACTGCATCTTCAAAGAAAAAATGGGGTGAGCATGCTTGATGAATCACCTTGTATATCTAATAGTATTGTACGCGTGTACGTAGATTTAAAATCCAGTTAACTTGCCACCTATTTTTAATTTTTCGATAATAAATAATAATAATATTATGTTTAAAATAATTTTGGTTTTCTGGTTCGAATCAGTAAACATGGCAACGTATAATATATAGTTAAGCCTTCAAACAATTTTTTGAAAAACGTCATCATTTGTTATTCTGCCATACTGTTAGTCGTTTCTAATATTTTGTCTACAATTTTAATTTATAACAATGAACTGTGTGAACGAATTCACTGTCCGGTTGTTGCTGATTACGGTATTACCGATCTTACGAAAAATTGGGGACCTTCTGCGCAAGTTGTACCAAAAATGTATGGAACTGGAAAACGATGACCACAGATTTGATCTGGTATGCAGTTGTCACCAATCGGAGGACACGCCGGTTCGTCGAGCTTAGACGAATCGCAACACCGACTTCGAAATAATAATATTATAATAATTTTGTGATTATTCTTGCTCCGGACTTCGGAGGACGCCCCTGCGGAAGGACGTGTTCACGCAAGTGGATTTCCCGGGATTGCGTTTCCGCCGCCGACGCTGCTCCAGGAAAGCCAAGTAGACACGGCCGACTTTCAGTCCGGAAAGCTTGGCAGCCGCTCGCTTCGAGTTTCCGCCACCGCCGCCGGAACTGTACGTGGGCCCGGTGTGGTTTGACGTGAACGGCCCTCCGCCACTTCCGTGTTGAGCATACTCGTCAATGTTTGCTTACCCCCCTCCCCCCGCTCCGAAAGAGCTCACCGGAAACTCAAACGTACAATTGTAACCACGCATGTAAAACCTGAATATCATATTTAAATATCTACCCATGTACCTATAATTTCTAAATGACTAATGTTGTAAAATATTTATTGTACCAATAACCTTTATTTATTGTAAAATTGGAAAATGTAAAATATGTTATGTGTATTAAGTTTAAAGTATTGTGTAAGTACTCAATGTAGGGTTTTCACAAAGTTTTCAAATTTCAAAATATATTTATGTTTAGTGCAGTATTTTCCTTTGCACAACAGAAATTTGATGTCTATATAATTTCTAAGATTTTAATTTCACATTTATATAGTTAAAAGATATATATTATAAATATATATTGACAAAAAATAATAATAGGTACAAATCAACAAACATGGCCGTAACCAATAGCAAGCGCTATTATTATTTTAATCTGCAACAAAATGTTTTATTATTTAGTTTATTATTTCTGGACGTATCGTTACCTAACCTTTTTGAGATCGTAATGAAGAGTGTGTGGTTTTGGATGCAACCATATTATAGATAATAGCCAGTAGGTATAATGCATTTTAAATTAATTTTGGTGAACAATGGTTAAAAAAAAAATTAAAATTAACTAGTGAGGTCAGCCAAAAGTCAAAATTAACTGAACGAGTTATACCAATTATTATTAGATATAAAGAAATATTCATAAATAAAAAAAAAACAAAAACACTGTTTGTGGTAATCACTTGAAAACATCTGGACCTATTCAATACTATATAGGTACTTAAAATTGTATATTGTGTTAAAAATATATCCGATTTCGCAGAAATTTTAATTTCAAACGATTATTAAAAATAAATGTGACCTATTAACTCGATATTTTTGAAAAATGATAAGAAAACGTTTGAGGAACCTTTTATTAGGTATTCAAACCTTGATTATTAAAATAGTGATGGTTATGAATTATCAAGTACAAAATAATTTATTTATAATATTATGATATTGTCTTGTAAAACAATAAACATTTACAAACAATTTGAATAGGGTTACAAAAAAGTTCGATTATCAGAACGGATTATCATATCATATTATCATAACGGATACCAATAATAGATTTCAACATTTCGGTTTAACAATTATCAATATCGATTAAATAGACATGCTAATATTGTATACTTTGTAAATGTACACTCAGTATTATTTTTTTTAATTAGGTACCTAGTCCCAAAATATATATTATACCTATATATGTAACAGTGGCAACACTGTAAGTCTAATA